GCAGGTGTCGGTGTGTGTCACTAAGAAATCAGAATTACACCAACAAAAAAACGATCATTATGCTTGAGTATATCGGTAAACATCAACAAACTATGGAATCAAGCTCATTACTATGCATCACTTTGGGTAGGAGAGGTGGTGGTCTGCCTTTAAAATAGAGTGACATGTTATAATACCACTCTTAAGCATGTAGGGCTGAAATAATTAGGGTTTAAGGTATGGAGACAGGAAGCCATGGATTAAAACCAGATTGAGCCTTGTGGTGTGGGTCCCGTTTCTACTGAATGACAGCGGCGGATGTAATGTTAAGAAGCTGTCACAGTGTGTGTGTGTGAGTGTTTGTCCAGTGGGAAGCTGCAAGTCCCTCTCGACCCCTCTCTAAGGGCTATTTGACTTCACTGGGAAGTTACACTACATGGCCAAAAGTATGTGAACACCGCTTCAAATTAATGGATTCGGCTATTTCAGCCACACCCAATGCTGACAGGTGTATACAATCGAGCACACAGCCATGCAATCTCCATAGACAAACACTGGCAGGAGAATGGCCTTACTGAAGAGCTCAGTAACGTTCAACGTGGCACCGTCATAGGATGCCACCTTATCAATTAGTCTGTTCGTCAAATTTCTGCCCTGCTAGAGCTGCCCCAGTCAACTGTAAGTGCTGTTATTGTGAAGTGGAAACTTCTAGGACAGTGGAAACGCATTCTCTGGAGTGATGAATCACGCTTCACCATCTGGCAGTCCGACAGATGAATCTGGGTTTGGCGGATGCCAGGATAAAGCTACCTGTCCGACTGCATAGTGCCAACTAATGGTCTGGGGCTGTTTTTCATTGTTCGGGCTAGGCCCCTTAGTTCCAGTGAAGCGAAATCTTAATGCTACAGCATCCAATTACATTCTAGACTATTCTGTGCTTCCAACTTTGTGGCAACAGTTTGGGGAAGGCCCTTTCCTGTTTCAGCATGGCAATGCCCACGTGCACAAAGCGAGGTCCATACAGAAAAGGTTTGTCGACATCGGTGTGGAAGAACTTAACTGGCCTGCACAGAGCCCTGACCTCAAACCCATCGAACACATTTGGGATGAATTGGAACGCCGACTGCGAGCCAGGCCTAATCGCCCAACATCAGTGCCCGACCTCACTAATACTCGTGGCTGAATGGAAGCAAGTCCCCGCAGCAATGTTCCAACATCTAGTGGAAAGCCTTCCCAGAAGAGGCTGTTATAGCAGCGAAGGGGAGACCAACTCCATATTAATGCCCATGATTTTGGAGTGAGATGTTGGACGAGCAAGTGTCCACATACTTTTGTTTGTAGTGTATTCCACAGCTTTCATTTTCATTCCTTCACTTTACTCCATTTCTTACTGCATCGTCAAACTTCCTGACTTCTCATGGGTCGTCTCTAAATGACAGTTCACTGAATAACATAATTGCAAATTATTATGGCATTTTCAAATCCCTCTGTGCAATAAAGGTTACTACTCTTCAACCTTTGTGATGTCTTTTAGTAACAAGGTTTCAGTCAGTTACTCATCCAAACACTTCTGCCAGGAGAGGGGGGAAATGGGCGGCCATGACAGGTGAGCCACTTTAATTAGCATTATTACGAAAGTGCACCTCCCACCCACCTTAAAGAAGCAACGAGAAACCTTCCCTTTCAAACCTGGTGAGAGATGGGCATCCTGAAAGGGCCTCGCATTCCTTTCACCTGCGAGTGGCCACACCACACAAAGGACATCAAAGCTCCCACAGAGCAACTGTTCAAAGTTAAATATAAAGGTGGGAGGGGGGAGAGGCTGTGTGTAGGGATTAGTATACTGGGAGTCCAAAAACATGATATTTCTAAAGCTCGTGGTCTTTGTATAGTTGCTCATGCTCTGGTATTAAAGAGGTGAAAATGTGAGGGGTTAAAAACATGACAGCACAATGGGGCTTGCTAGCCGCAGTTGCTGAAGATACACACACACACATCATGTTTGTTATGTTTCCATTGCGATAGTTTAGGCCACTTATGATGCAGATACTCCAGTAGCAATGAAGCTACGCTAACAGTCAGTCACAACAAGATTACTTGTCTTCTGATGAGGGTTTCCAAAATGACTAAAAAGCAGATACAGTTAAACAGTTTCCAGTCAACAGATATGACTGCCTACACTGTTACCAAGGTAACTGGTTGTTTATTGAGAGAATTAATCATGTTTCACATCTCATTACTCATTTCCCCCAAATCACTCATAGGGATATACTGTATCTACTCAGGTTAATTGAGTGAATGTAAATACCTGATATTAGTTGAATGTCTGGTTGAACATGTAAACGCCATTCCTTTTTATTTACCCGTCAAAGAATAAACACGTCCAAAGTTAAACAGGCTGAGAAACTGGTTGCGGCAACAGATGGAATGTGTGTGTGAGTGTGTACAATGCTAATCTATCTCTAGGAGTGAACAGAGAATCTAGGATCATTTTTCATCAGCAGGAATTCACAATGATGGGCCTCATTTGTCAAGTGACAAAACACTTAAAAAGACACTTCAAACATGATACACTTACTACATACACGCACGGACGTATTGAAGTGGACTCGCTCTAAATACGGTGTAAAACTGCAGCTGTCCAGGTCTGTGTGTGTCAGTAGACATGATGAACAGTTAGAAGTACAACGTCTCAGCAGTCAGCACCATTTCTTTTAAAACTTAATTTCTTTACAAAGTATTCACTTAAGGCAAATTATCTTTGGTAACTAGTGTAATATTGTTGTCTCTACCTTCTTGCCTTTGTGCTGTTGTCTGTGCCCAATAATGTTTGTAACATGTTTTGTGCTGCTACCATGTGCTGCTGCCATGTTGTGTTGCTACCATGTTGTTGTCATGTGGTGTTGCTACCATGCAGTGTTGTCATGTGTTGCTGCCATGCTATGTTGTTGTCTTAGGTCTCTCCTTATGTAGTGTTGTCCTATATTTTTAATCCCAGCCCCCGCAGGAGGCCTTTTGCCTTTTGGTAGGCTGTCATTGTAAATAAGAATTTGTTCTTAACTGACTTGCCTAGTTAAATAAAGGTTAAATAAATACAATAAAAAGTATGCCTTGCATTGTTCTCAGAGCCCTATTATGGTTGTCAGTGATTTCTGCAGTTTCAATAAAAGTCCAGCTTCTAAATTCACATACATTTCCATAGTTTAGGCTATATTTACATTAATGGCAGTGTAAAATAATTGACCATTACATTTAGTTAATTACACCCGAAATAGTTGGTGTGACTATGAGTTCAGTGAAATAGTGAGTTGGTGTGACTATGAGTTCAGTGAAATAGTGAGTTGGTGTGACTATGAGTTCAGTGAAATAGTGAGTTGGTGTGACTATGAGTTCAGTGAAATAGTGAGTTGGTGTGACTATGAGTTCAGTGAAATAGTGAGTTGGTGTGACTATGAGTTCAGTGAAATAGTGAGTTGGTGTGACTATGAGTTCAGTGAAATAGTGAGTTGGTGTGACTATGAGTTCAGTGAAATAGTGAGTTGGTGTGACTATCAGTTCAGTGAAATAGTGAGTTGGTGTGACTATGAGTTCAGTGAAATAGTGAGTTGGTGTGACTATGAGTTCAGTGAAATAGTGAGTTGGTGTGACTATGAGTTCAGTGAAATAGTGAGTTGGTGTGACTATGAGTTCAGTGAAATAGTGAGTTGGTGTGACTATGAGTTCAGTGCGTGCGCGCCATCACAACTACAATGCTGTCATGGAAAAGAGACGGTACTTTTGACCAGCGATTTATTTCATGAGAACAATTCTTCCTTCCCCTGCAGATCAAAGGCTGATCTGTCAGGAGACAGAGGCCAGATCAATTATCTCTGTCCACCATTTCCACTGTCCCGCTATTTACCAGCTGATTATGTCCAGACAAATCTGCCCAATTCAAAAGGCTAAGGGGCCATCAAGCAGCCAACTATTTCCCTCTTTCTCACTTACTCGTACCCCCCTCTCTCTAACCCTCATTTTACCCCCTCCTTCTCTCTCCCTCCTCCTAAGCCCTCACTCCCTCCTCCTAACCCCTCCATCTCTCCAGAAGCTTGTATTTTGACAAATGTCACCCAGTAAAAATTCCTGCTGGCCGCTGGTCCCTGAAAGTCAAACAGCTGCGCTGGATAGGAAGCGGGTTCCCAAGACGCTGGCTTGCCAGATTTGCAAGAAGAATCCCTACAGAAAATGAGCAGGAAGCCCCCTATATGGAGAAACTCAACCCGGCCAAGATTGAAGTTCAAAGGCAGGCACCGTTTTCACTCCATCGGGAATGTCCTTGAATTGAGCACACCCTACCCTGACTGTGGTGGAGTGACTACAGACAAGCGAGAGTGCTTGTGCGAGCTCTTTCAGTGATAACAGATTGAGAGAGGACACAGAGTCATTAAAATGTCTGCCATCCTTCCTGGCAGAGATAAGGAAAGACCCATTCAGTCGGCCAGAGCCTCTGATTAAGAGGCCAATTCGCCGGCTGTCACTCAAGCGTGGCAGTCAGTGGCTTGTCAAAGGGTCCTTAAATGGGAAAATTGTTTTAGGTCATGGCAGAATGAAAAGCGGCGGGAACAGAGTTCAGAAAGTTTTTTTCTATAAACCACAATTTAAACTGTGATTTTCATATTCGTGAGAAAATGGGAAAGCATTGTGAGAATCCACAACCACATCTATTGAATGTCACAGGACGAGCAAATGACCGCGACAGAAGAAAGACACACTGTCTGTTTACGACCAAAATGGCTTAAACAAACAAACAAAAAATACAATTAAAAATCACTCAGCGCCACAGAAAGCACTCAAACTATCCAAAACATCCAGTGGGATTAATGTGCATGTGGTCGCTTCAATGTTATGAAGCAATGGAAGACCTAGAAAGGAGGTGGGACTGGACATTTTGCAGAAGAAAGAATTATACTCTTTTAGAGCAGTGGAAGTGCACACAACCTCTAATTAACATGACCAACTAACTGTGTGTGATGAATTTCTTAGTGGTCCCAACGAATAATGGTAACATAAGTCAGGCTTGAGGTACGCCTCACCAGCTTCTCTCTGAAGACCATCTGTCTGAGCCACTTGAAGTCCAGCGGTTTGAAGGCGGAGAAGATGAAGAGCGAGTCCTTCTCGTATCGCTCAGGCCTCTGGATGGCCCCCTCGGGGTAGGTGATGCGCATGGTGGTCTTGGTGCCCACGTCCTTGCCGAAACCAGTCACTGGAGCCTCGTTCAACCTGCGGTTGGAGAAGAAACGCTATGTGGGCGAATAGAGTACCACAGTATGAGTCATAATAACCATAAAACCTAGCGGTCAAACAAGGAAATGGTTCCAATCGTTTTTCCACAATTCATTTTTCTTATAGGGGATTTTAGAAACACTTAAAATAAGGGCTGTGTTTCGTGTAGGCTTACCCTGGCGTAACGTTTTGAGAACTGTGTAAATCTCTCTAGGACAAGGTGACTTTTATCAATATAATTTGCCTGTATTTATCCCCCAAAAATGAAATGCTAATTAGCTGCTAATGTGGCTATCATAAAGATCAACAAATACCATGATGATCTGGACAAGACTGCCCAATCGAGGCAAAGGTAAGAATCTCTGGATTAACCATCTAATAGCTACATTTAGTAATGAATAACTTGGCTAGATTTCTTTAAATTTACAATTCTGTGAACTGTCTTGTGCAAGTTTTAAAATGACACAATACACCTGTTAGCAAAGATGACGTGTGGGAGCTTGCAGGGATTTGTAGTCTTGAATGATGTCTACCTTGATGCTAATTAGCATTTTCGAATCAGAGTAAACAGAGCCGAATATATTGATAAGTCACCTAGTCAAAACGTCACACCAGGGTAAGCCTACACGAAACACAGCCCTTCATTTAAGTGTTTCTAAAATTCCCTATGGGAAAAATGAATGGTGGAAAAACGGTTGGAACCATTTCCCTGTTTGACCGCTAGGTTTTATGGGTATTATGACACCTCCACTGTGGGGCTCTGTACGTTGTGTGTTGACATCACAGCATGACTGGGGACTTTACATAGCCTAGGTGCCAGCCTGAGAATTTAGTTTCACTCCTCTCAAATATGACAAAAAATTTTGCCAATCGAAACAATAACTGGTAATTTAGTTTCTATTTAGTTTCTTTCTGATACGGGGCTTGCCAACAAATGCCCAGTACCCTTCATACTGATAAAACAGTAGGTTTACACTCATGCAGGGAAATGTATCAATCTAAGCCCTAACCTAAGTCAATTAACATTAACAAGAGTTCAGGAGGAACTCACATTAAGCAGGACTTAATCCTTTTTTACCCCAGGAACTGGCACTATGTTGCCCTTGCATTGGAAGTAAAGACTCACCTCACCACAATGTCGTAATCATCTATTCGGGAGCCCAGAGACTTGTTAGCCAGGATACCACCGTTGCCCACGATAATGCATCTTTTACAACTTAAACTGGAAGAGAAGAATGTCTGGCCAGTTAGAATGTTTGAAAAGAGAAAGTGTGTGTGTGTAAGTGCTAGTATGTACAGTTGAAGTCGGAAGTTTACACACACTTAGGTTGGAGTCACTAAAACTCGTTTTTCAACCACTCCACAAATTTCTTGTTATCAAACTATCGTTTTGGCAAGTTGGTTAGGACATCTACTTTGTGCATGACACAAGTAATTTTTCCAACAATTGTTTAGAGACAGATTTCACTTATAATTCACTATATCACAATTCCAGGTGGTCAGAAGTTTACATACACTAAGTTGACTGTGCCTTTAAACAGCTTGGAAAATTCCAGAAAATTATGTCATGGCTTTAGAAGCTTCTGATAGGCTAATTGACATAATTTGAGTCAATTGGAGGTGTACCTGTGGATATATTTCAAGGCCTACCTTCAAACGCAGTGCCTCTTTGCTTGACATCATGGGAAAATCAAAAGAAATCAGCCAAGACCTCAGAAAAAAAAAATGGTAGACCTGGCTCATCCTTGGGAGCAATTTCCAAATGACTGAAGGTACCACGTTCATCTGTACAAACAATAGTATGCAAGTATAAACACCATGGGACCACGCAGCCGTCATACCGCTCAGGAAGGAGACGCGTTCTGTCTCCTAGAGATGAACGTACTTTGGTGCGAAAAGTGCAAATCAATCCCAGAACAGCAGCAAAGGACCTTGTGAAGATGCTGGAGGAAACAGGTACAAAAGTATCTATATCCACAGTAAAACGAGTCCTATATCGACATAACCTGAAAGGACGCTCAGCAAGGAAGAAGCCACTGCTCCAAAACCGCCATAAAAAAGTCAGACTAAGGTTTGCAACTGCACAAGGGGACAAAGATCGTACTTTTTGGAGAAATGTCGTCTGGTCTGATGAAACAAAAATAGAACTGTTTGGCCATAATGACCATCATTTGGTTTGGAGGAAAAAGGGGAAGGCTTGCAAGCCGAAGAACACCATCCCAACCGTGAAGCACGGGGGAAGCAGCATCATGCTGTGGGGGTGCTTTGCTGCAGGATGGACTGGTGCAGTTCACAAAATAGATGGCATCATGAGGAAGGAAAATTATGTGGATATATTGAAGCAACATCTCAAGACATCAGTCAGGAAGTTAAAGCTTGGTCGCAAATGGGTCTTCCAAATGGACACTGACCCCAAGCATACTTCCAAAGTTGTGGCAAAATGGCTTAAGGACAACAAAGTCAAGGTATTGGAGTGGCCATCACAAAGCCCTGACCTCAAGCCTTTAGAAAATGTGTGGGCAGAACTGAAAAAGCGTGTGCGAGCAAGGAGGCCTACAAACCTGACTCAGTTACACCGGCTCTATCAGGAGGAATGGGCCAAAATTCACCCAACTTATTGTGGGAAGCTTGTGGAAGGCTACCTGAAACGTTTGACCCAAGTTAAACAATATAAAGGCAATGCTACCAAATACTAATTGAGTGTATGTAAACTTCTGACCCACTGGGAATGTGATGAAAGAAATAAAAGCTGAAATAAATCACACTACTATTATTCTGACAATTCACATTCTTAAAATAAAGTGGTGATCCTAACTGACCTAAAACAGGGAAGTTTTACTAGGATTAAATGTCAGGAATTGTGAAAATCTGAGTTTAAATGTATTTGGCTAAGGTGTATGTAAACTTCCGACTTCAACTGTATGTGTGAGAGTGTGTTACTTAATTCCCGTGGCAATTACCTGTCAAGGTCTTGACCCAGCCCATAGTTTTTTGTGGCAGTTAGAATAATGTCTATGATTCTTTCTGGGGAAAAAATAAGACAGACAGTTTAGATATCAACTACAATGAATTATTATTGCTAGTTCACAGACAAACCCCTCATGAAAAGGATTAATAGCTCCTCTTCAATAACCAACAGTCGAGGACTTCAATGCCCAGAAAACGCTGTAGCAGGCTAGGTGGTCCTTGGGAGAGCTGGAGGTCTGGAGGAGAGAACATCCCTCCACGTAGATAAGGATAAGCCACGGACCCGGTGACAATAACATTGGAAAACCGGCAGTGCTTTTAGGACGGATGAATCCGGGTGAAACAGGGCTTTGTAAAAAAGCACTGCCCATAAAACCACTCAGTGAGGAACGCTGTTTTCAAACAAGCACATTCTCCCAGTTGAAGTGTGCTGTGCTAGGGCTCTCTCACCAGGAGGACACAGAGCTGGGTCTGGTGGTGTAAGATACAGGGCTGTTTAGCCATAGCGTGCGTTCCTGCCATGCTCCAGAGGGTATTCTGGAGGAATCATGACTCTGGTGTTTAAGACAAATTTGTCTTCGCCCCCACAGCCCACTAGCACCTCTCGACTCTTTCCTTCTCATCTTAGTCATATAGATCTACCATAGCCAAATTATTGGGAGATTTATATCTAGAATCACTCACTTGCATGTACACTACATGACCAAAAGTATGTGGACACCTGCTCGTCAAACATCTCACTCCAAAATCATGGGCATTAATATCGAGTTGGTCCCCCCTATGCTGCTATAACAGCCTCCACTCTTCTGGGATGGCTTTCCACTAGATGTTGGAACATTGCTGCGGGGACTTGCTTCCATTCAGCCACAAGAGCATTATTGAGGTCGGGCACTGATGTTGAGCGATGTTGCAGTCGGCGTTCCAATTCATCCCAAAGGTGTTCGATGGGGAGGAAGTCAGGGCTTTGAGGCCAGTCAAGTTCTTCCACACCGATCTCGACAAACCATTTCTGTATGGACCTCGCTTTGTGCACAGAGGCATTGTCATGCTGAAACAGGAATGGGCCTTTCCCAAACTGTTGCCATAAAGTTGGAAAAACAGAATCGTCTAGAATGTCATTGTATGCTATAGCGTTAAGATTTCCCTTCACTGGAACTAAGGGGCCTAGCCCGAACCAACAAATACAGCCCCAGACCATTACTCCTCCTCCACCAAACTTTACAGTTGGCACTATGCATTGGAGCAGGTAGCATTCTCCTGGCATCCGCCAAACCCAGATTCGTCCGTTGGACTGCCAGATGGTGAAGGGTGATTCATCACTCCAGAGAATGCGTTTCCACTGCTCCAGAGTCCAATGGCGGCAAGCTTTACACCACTCCAGCCGACGCTTGGCATTACGCATGGTGATCTTAGACTTGTGTGCGGCTGCTCTGCCATGGAAACCCATTTCATGAAGCACCAGAAGAACAGTTTTTGTGCTGATGTTGCTTCCAGAGGCAATTTGGAACTCTGTAGTGAGTGTTGCAATTTAGGACAGATGATTTTTAAGCACTTGGCGGTCCCGTTCTGTGAGCTTGTGTGGCCTACCACTTCGCGGCTGAGCCGTTGTTGCGCCTAGACGTTATCACTTCACAATAACAGCACTTACAGTTGACCCGGGGCAGCTCTAGCAGGGCAGAAATTTGACGAAATGACTTGTTGGAAAGGTGGCATCCTATGACAGTGTCACGTTGAAAGTCACTGAGCTCTTCAGTAAGGCCATTCTACTGCCAATGTTTGTCTATGGAGACTGCATGGCTGTGTGCAACAGGTGTGGCTGAAATAGCCAAATCCACTAATTTGAAGGGGTGTCCACATATATTTGTATGTATAGTGTATAATCACATTTCAGTTGAGTGCTGAATGTATTTGTTAAACAGCTGATATTAAATGCTGTTAGGGTCACCACAACCCCATGTAAGTATCTACGTGGGTCTCTTGCTAGAGTAATGCATTAGGCTTACAGCTTTATCCCCTCTAATGATTAAAAAGCTGAAAAAGAGCAGCGGCCCATTGTTTGGACAAGGGGTCGATGTCTGGCATCAAGCATCACCCCGGGCAGCATAAACAGAGGACCACACCTGAATCGAGGGGGGGAGAAATCGCAGCAGGGAAGGTTTCATCAAAGGGGGAGACATGGCGGCTAATTGTTATTAGCGACCAGGATAAACACCTCAGCCAAGTATGTCTGGGCAGAAGCTCAGACAAATGGCCATCGCCTTGACGTACACGGTTCTGGCGAGGAAAATCTTCAGCTGAAATATGGAGGAGGGATTGGATGTGTCGCTAAACACGCTCTCCGATTGTTCTGCTACAGCGTGCTGCTATAGAGCAGAGTATACACAAGGTAAAGGGAAACACCTGAGACTGGTAAGTCTAACATTGATAAATATACAATGCTTATGAATCACTAGGGATTGGCAAAGAGCATAATTGTATCCAGGACAGAAATATCTCAACATTATCAAACTATCTATTCTAGGTGCATTGTGGTATGTGCCCTTGAGCAAGGCACTTAACCCTAATTGCTCCTGTAAGTCGCTCTGGATAAGAGCGTCTGCTAAATGACTAAAAATGTTTTAAAAAATGTAAATGGTCAGTTGGTCTAGGCCAGCAGTCCCTGGCCCGGTGGTTGGGAAACCCTGGTCTAGGCCAAAAGCTTAGCTCCATGGCACATGGGGATATCCTTGGTTTGTCTATATAACAGTCAGATGCTTAGACATGACCAGCTAAAGTCAAGGAGTACAAAATGGAGAATAATTAAATTGGACTTTGCTTTGAATGGGATGTTATCTTAAACAATGGGTGACTCTGTAGCAATAACTGAGCTATTTCCATTATGCAACTAAATTGATACTTAAATGTATATAAATAATAACATTTGAACATATTAGTAACATTTGAAAAAAAATCTGGGCTAGGTTTTATTTGACCTTTATCCAGCCTTATTATCATGAATGAACTAGGCCTATCCAAAAGATGTCATGAGTCATGTTAACCTCTACGGGATCGGCGTCCCGTATACGGGACGGTTGAGCTAACGTGCGCTAATGTGATTAGCATGACTGTTGTAAGTAACTTTCCAGGACATAGACATGTCTTATATGGGCAGAAAGCTTAAACTATTGTTAATCTAACTGCACTGTCCAATTTACAGTAGCTATTACAGTGAAAAAATACCATGCTATTGTTTGAGGAGAGTGCACAACAAAAAACATATCACGGCAACTGGTTTGATACATTCACCTCTGAAGGTAAATAATGTACTTACATTCAGTGATCTTGCTCTGATTTGTCATCCTAAGGGTCCCAGAGATAAAATGTAGCATAGTTTTGTTTGATAAAATCAACTTTTATATTAAAATGTAGGAACTGGGTTCTACAGTTTGAACCCCTGCTGTCTCTGGCTCCACACCCACCCCGCCATCTAGATGTGTGAAAGTTGTATAAGCTAATGATCCATCATGTATGACATTCCTGGGAGTGTGTAAACTTACATTTTGTATTACCATATCATTTATGTATGTTCTCTATAGTTATGTACTTGAAAAATTATAAATTGACCAATTCGGCACATTTGGGCAGACTTGATACAAAATAGTCCAGTATTGCAATGCTTCACTGGATCAATCTGCAACTTTGCACAAACTGCTGTCTTCTAGTGGCCAAAATCTAAATTGCGCATAAACTGCAATATTATATTGTGGCCTTTCTCTTGCATTTCAATGATGATGGAACAAAACAAAAAATAGAAAACGCATGTTTTTTGGTTTGTATTATCTTTTACCAGATCTAATGTGTTATATTCTCCTACATTAAATTCACATTTACCAAACTTCAAAGTACCTCCTTTCAAATGATATCAAGAATATGCATATCCTTGCTTCAGGTCCTGAGCTACAGGCAGTTAGATTTGGGTATGTCATTTTAGTCAAAAAATGTTTTTAAGGGTCTGATCCTTAAGAGGTTAATATGTAACATTGCAGGAAATTAGCTTAAAAACAGACATTTCCCTAAACAGAAAAAGCTAAACGAATTAATAATTAATTGGGCGTTGGGGGAGGGCATGAAATAGGAGTCCCTGAAATGTGTGGGTCATGAAATAGGGGTCCCTGGGGGAAAATGGTTGGGTACCCCTTGCTTTAGGTGTTAAAAAAGGTCCCTGTAAAAAATGCTTTCATGTTTGCTTATAGTAGGATGGAGTGGTAAAAACTGCATAAAGTCTAGCGAACAAGACTGTTTCAAGTAAACCTCCATGGCAGCTTGGCTGCAAAACAAGCAAAAATAAACGTTTATTGTCATGCTTTACATTTTTGGGGTTTCTAATTTGGAATCCTTTGTGGAGTGCTATTCAAGATCCACACATACTACCTCTCCATACAGCTAAAAGGGAAACCCCACTGCAGTCACCATCCGTGGAAAAAACAGAATCCAGGTGTAGTGTGCACACAAGTTGCTCGCCTTTGAAAACCAGCGCGTGAGAGCGGGGCAGAGGGCCCTTGCCAGAGCACATAGGTAACATTCAGTGTACCTTTACATTAACTTTGTTCATAAGTATTGGAAAATATGTGAGAGAGCATGCATTCAGGCCACACCCTTTTTTACCTCATCTTTCCAATTCTGATAGCATGATGTTCTCAAGTTTGATTCGTGAAATGCATAGATTCTTGTCGGTCTTGTCGCAGTCAGTGAGCTACCTAACCCCGTATTGAGACGTGACTACTTCACAGTCGAGGAAAGAACGGTAGGTAGCCTAGCGGTTAAGAGCGTCAGGCCAGTAACCGAAAGGTTGCTGGTTCGAATCCCGAGCCAACTAGGTGAAAAATCTGTCAATGTGCCTTTGAGCAAGGCACGTAACCCTAATTGCTCCTGTAAGTTGCTCTGTATAAGAGAGTCTCTGCTAAATGATTAATATATAATATGTTAAGTAGTTTGATGCATTTCGCCATACATTTAGGATGGGTGTTGAAGTTGGAAAATGCCGTAGAAGTTTGTAGAAGTTCAGAGAAACTGAAAAGTGCTGTTTCGCTATCCAGATGTTGCCGTAGCAAGAAATGTCCTGTAATATTAATGCATCCCATTCTCACCCTCTACCCTGCTCCCCACCCCAGGCAATGGCACGGTCAGAGGCAGTGTGTGGAGACATCAGTGAGCATGACAGGAGCAGAATTAGATCAACCCAAGCAGGCCAGGAGGGCTGTTCTGCCAGCTCTATCACCAAGCGCTAACTGACGCGTGGTGATAAGGATGGTACAACCCTGGCACCCTCTTCTCTTTAGCTTACCTATCCAGCCCAAACCACCATCCATACACAGTTCTAAAACCACCATGACAAGTTACTCTATCAATGAGATACATGGACGGGGGCATAATCCAATTTGTGCACGTGTTAGACACGCAATGCGTCTTACCTTGTGTTTTGAATCCAAATGGAGGTAAGTAACTGTTGACTTTGGCCAGACGCTTGAAGTTCCGGTCGAGAAACATGGGAGCTGGCTTCATGAACCTGTCAGAAGAACAGCAGAGAGAAGAACGGGAGAGATTAATATATTTTAGAGAAGGACTTCAGATTGTCTGTTCACCCATGAACAGTCCAGGAGGACTAAAGTTAAACAAAATAGGCCTACTTTGTGTTGTGTTGACTTCTTAGTCGTGCACTCTCATTTCCAGATGCATAGTTCAAAAGCCAGCCAAACCCTTGTCCTATTCCAGATAGCTTGCTATGAGAGATCCACCACAGATAGCGTGCTGTGTTAATCAAGTTGGATTGACACTTGTCAATGAGCAATGGAGTTTACCTGAACACCCATGCACGGGTGAGTGATCAAGCGGAGAATGTGTGTCTGGGGGTACACCACCCCAATGTCTCGCTGGACACTAAATTAGAAGTTGACCGTTTTTTTTCTAAAAGCGTTTCTTCTCCCTTTCTCCCTGAAAAGGACGTGGCCCCCACTCATCTCTGCCGTGACCCCTGGGGCTCTGGTGTGAATGTCCTGCCAGGAGTTAAAGACACTGGGCCGTAAGAGGAGACGCTTGTTCCACTCATCAATCTAACAACGTTCCCCAAACCAATCCTGCACACACAGAGAGAGCAAAATGGGTTGACTCAAGGAAGGAAAATAAATAACACAGGGGAGAAAGAGAGAACAAGCCTCCTGCATGTACCCTTATTGACAACGTTTTTTTCCCCAGGAAAAGGTCTAAATCATTCTTGACGCATAGTTTGGGTATACGTGTCCTGACGATGTATTGACATCAGTGTTTTTCTGTCCAAGATGATTTGGGGCCTGGCCATTTAGAGGAAGGGGCCTGGCCGTCTTACTTAAGAGGGCAGTGTTGATTGGTAATGTGTGCAGAAACAGTTGGCGCACCAACAAAGTACTCCGACACCAACCTAGTTACTTACAGGTATACAGACCGCGGTTTGATGTACAGAAACGAAGCAAACAAAAAAATATATTCCTTTGAAGATCTTAAAACATTTTTAGACTACAGGAAAATGTGCCATGACAGTATAAACCCACTTTCCCCTGCCCTCGGTGGCTTCAAATAAAAACAAATCTCGTTTGTCATACTCAAAGAAGCTGTGACTGTTAAGGGTACACAGTACATTTAAAATGTCTCCCTGGCTGTGCGACCCCCCCCCCCCCCCCCCCTTTGATAAAGCACTCCCCTCAAATCAGAAGGAGCCACTTCCCCCAGTCAGGCCAGAGCTGTACGTGCTGCTTCTGGAAGTGTGGCCGGACGATGGATGTCTGTTTTTATGACCCGCTGTCTCGCTGGGGAGAGCACAGGGGTTCTCGTTTAACAAGCCTGCAGCTCCAATGATCCACTTTTACAGCTCGCAGTGAAGGTTTTCACAACAAGCTTGCAGACTGGCATTTAAACAGAGGGGGATAACAAGGACATTACTGGTCCTAGGACGGTTTATGTCTCTACAACACAGGCAGCTTCTCAGTTTACGCTGACAGTAACAACAACTCACACAGGCCCGGGGCGCAAACCACAACAGGTCCTCCACAACATCTGAAGGAGGAACTCAGGGTGCCATGGGCCATTTTAACCAACCACTAGTTATGCCTGCCCACAGTTTACAGTTTAGTAATTTAGCAGACACCCTTATCCCAAGCGATTTACAGGAGCAATTAGGGTTAAGTGCTTTGCTCAAGGGCACAGACACAGACAAATGTATCACCTAGTCTGCTCGGGGATTTGAACCAGCGACATTTCGGTTTCTGCCCCAACGATCGTAACCGCTAGGCTACCTGCCGCCAGTTAAGTGCGACAAGTCAAGCGGAAGATGGCTACTAACACCAAAGGAATCCGAGTCCGCTATCAGATTACCAGACTTCACTTCCTACTAAGTGTGTCTGAAATCAATGACCAAACATGTTTTAGAGGAGCCGCTTTTCAACTTCCCAAAATGTTGTGCCTCCCCCAAACTCCTTAATGTGGTGCCTCCCCCAAACTCCTTAATGTGGTGCCTCCCCCAAACTCCTTAATGTTGTGCCTCCCCCAAACTCCTTAATGTTGTGCCTCCCCCAAACTCCTTAATGTTGTGCCTCCCCCAAACTCCTCAATGTTGTGCCTCCCCCAAACTCCTTAATGTTGTGCCTTCCCCAAACTCCTTAATGTGGTGCCTCCCCCAAACTCCTTAATTGCACTTGAGGCACAAGTTGTACCACAGTGTCATAAGGGGGGGGGAGTAAGTAATGTCTGGCTCTCCCGCTCCATCTCTCTCTCCTCACATCACCTGACAAAGAAGTAGACCCTTGCCAAAACAAACCGCGATTCATCAACATGTGGCTTCAGGGACCCAGCCGCATTATATATAACTGGGACAGTCAAGAGTCTCCTAGCCCATGAACGGATGGACAGACAGGGATCTGGTCTGCTTGTCTTAAAGAGACAGGGCTCCCAAAACAGGAGGCCGGGGCACAGAGTGCTCATTTCCTTTCACTGGAGGTCATATTTTCATAACCGCTCCACTCAAGTTCACCGCCAACACTTGATTTAGGGCTCCAATACAAACAGTTTGGCGTGAGGGGAGGTGTTGGAAATAAATTGTATTCCGTGGGGCAGGGCCTTTTGAGAGAATGCCAAGTGTGCAAAGCTGTCATCAAGGCAAAGGGTGGCTATTTGAAGAATCTCAAATATATTTTGATTTGTTTAACACTTTTTTGGTTACTACATGATTCCATGTGTTATTTCATAGTTTTGATGTCTTCACTATTATTCTACAATGTAAAACATAGTAAAAATAGAGAAAAACCCTTGAATGAGTAGTATATATATGACTGGTAATGTATATATGGAGACTGTTTAGTGCCAAAAATAAGGGGTTAAATACATATAAATAAATAAAATGTTTCCTGATCTTTCTATCTGTTATAGAGAAACCCCCTCTCCCTCAATCTCCTGAAGTGAAGTCTCTTCTTCTCCCCCCCCCCCCCTCCACCCACCCCCCGGCTTGCTCAGGGCTTAGAGTCTTATGGGTCAAGGTGGAGGGACCTCACTTCATGAGGGGGAGGGAGTTTCTATGGCCAAGTTGACTGTCAGTGTATATACTTTGTTTCTACTACAGATTAAATAACTCATGCTGAATTCAGTTTGCCAAGAAAATGTAGGCCATGTCTTTACGTGAATCATCAACTTATTTCGTTGTGAGTGTTAGACCAAGAAAGGGATTTAGATCTGTCATACAGAGCTGGGGATGCCACTCCTCTATGTGAGTGGGCTGACAGGGAAGCAAAAGTGGCCAAAAAGAGGTAGCAGTTTGAATATTTAGATTTGACATCTGTAGTTGTACATGTCATGCATGACCAAACCGGACATTTTGCTTTTTCACACATGGCACTCATCAGACTCTAGGACATCTAACAGACACACATAACTGTCACTATAAGCCATTAATTGTACTAACTGAATTGTGTGTTACTGAAGTGAATGTGGTAGTAATCAATGCTGTCCCAGAAGGGGCTGTTTTGTAGGGTACTTTGATCCGACACGTGTGGCTGATTAGAGGAAGTCGTTGGGAGACATCGTTAACACATAGCCTCGTAGTAGTTGGAAGGGCCTGAAAACCGCCTGAAAACCAGACGGCTTTTTCTTTAACGACTGCTGTAATTTAGCAGCGCCCCAACGTAGCTCTCCCAAAGTTAGGCCTTTTCTCTTGAGTTAGATAATAATCATAAGACTATTTGTGTAACACGCCATGACGACGTGTTACACAACCCTTTTGGTTTCAGTATGAGAGTCATATTTATCCAAATATGTTGTTTCAGAAAGAATAAGAAACACAAAATACAATAAATATCATGTCATTGCTGGTCTTTAACGACTGCCACTAGAGATCCTGGTTCGAATCCAGGCTCTGTCGTAGCCGGCCGCGACCGGGAGACCCATGGGGCGGCGCACAATTGGCCCAGCGTCATCCAGGGTAGGGGAGGTAATGGCCGGCAGGGATGTAGCTCAGTTGGTAGAGCATGGCGTTTGCAACGCCAGGGTTGTGGGTTTGATTCCCACGGGGGGCCAGTATGAAAAAAAAAAATGTATGCACTCAAGTCCTCTGTAGCTCAGCTGGTAGAGCACGGCGCTTGTAACGCCAAGGTAGTGGGTTCGATCCCCGGGACCACCCATACACAAAAATGTAAGCACGCACGACTGTAAGTCGCTTTGGATAAAAGCGTCTGCTAAATGGCATATTATTATTATTGTTTATATTATAAGTCGCTCTGACTAAAATGTAAAAATGTCTTGTTTGTCATTCAAAACAGTCAGCCAATTTAAGCATTATGAGCCACTATTAGCCGTCATTTTGCAGACCACGGATCAACACAGCATCATCGTACAGTATGTTAAGATGGAGTCGCCATTTTCCACATTTACAGGCAGCTGAGTAAAAATGCCTCGGGCCATTGTTCTGCTATGTGGAAAATGCCCCTTTATTAGCCAGAGCTGCTGAGCACTCATGAGACACTAACTCATGGCTGGAGAGGAGATGCAGGGATGGCATCAAAGGCCCAGTGGCATCAAAGGCCCAGTGGCATCACGGAGGGCCGTCGAGTGTTCCGTGGATCGTGTTCGGAGGACAAGTGATGAGTAATGCCCTCCTGGACAGGAAGTCGTTGCCCCTCCGACAAAAAGCCTCAGCGGCGGCTCATTTCTGGCATCCATTTAAAATGGAGTTGGATGGGGGCTACATTCTCCCAACAGAGATGCTTTTGTGTTCGGAGGGCTGATGAGGACATGGTGTAGTGCACGGTTCCCCAGCTGGCAACCCGCTTTTATTTGTCCCCCCAAGTTTTCTGAACATTTTAAAATTGTTTTATTTTTGGATATAATACTAAAAACACCAGGAAATCAGCTCCAATTGATTAACATTTTTTGAAATCTGTTCCCAAGTATTCCCACGCATAATAGAGAAATATCTGTGATCATATACAAATGTAAGCAAGGCCTGAAATTATTATGTTTTAGTCAAATATTATATCCATTTGGGCTTCTTGCAGTCAATTTGCAGACTACAAATTATTTGTAATTATGTTCCAGCCCCCTTACCATCTGCTCAAGAAAAAAAATAGCCTGCGGCAGAATCTAGTTGATGATCCTAGTATAGTGTTTGTGGTAAGGATATAAATGAATTACTAAAATATTGTGTGGGAATGTGGGGGCTTTTATGTTCTGAGTCGATCCCCATAGGCCATGCTGGCTTGAGTAATGTCATAACGTCTCTAGGGGTTCGTCTCAATAGCTTAGAGTTCCTGCCTCTCCTTATCTCCTCTCCTTCATCTGCACTAAACTGAAATTAATTTGCCTTCACCTGACCAGTATTTTCAGCAGTGCAAAGTACAAAGGAGTGGAGACAAAGAGAGGAATCCTCTTAAGACTCAACATGCACTCAAGGACTCTAATCAAACCCTGAAGAGAGTTTTGCTCACTTTGGATAGATGGCGGTCATCTTGGCAGCTGCGTAGCCCGGCTTGCACACTCCTTCGCTGAGGTTGCCATACTTGTACACCAATTCTGCTGGCCTGCAAATGTCACCAAGAGGGAAGGATAACAACATGACCAGATAACAAGCAGTGTTTGCACTTCCACACAATCCAATTTAAACAAAGATCTCCCAGGAAGAAAGAACTGAAAATAGTTTGAGATGAAGCTGAGAGGAGAAAATATAATTCAAATAATAATCAACATGATCCCTTTAGCCCATCCTATGCTGGTCCTTTCCCATTTAGAGGTAAAGTAGGGACTAAAGAGGTCAAGTTCTACCGCATCCAACAGCCCCTTGTACCTCCTCCTCATTGCTATCATACTCATTAATTACCTGCTATATGGCACGCGACTAGTTCAAATAAACAGGGGGGAGAGAGGAGACGGGGCCAGCGCTATGGGAGGCCTATCTGTCACACACAGGGAGTGTTGATGAGATGGGGGCATGGCAGGGTGAAGGGGGTGCGTGGATGGACAGGCTATAGCTGGAGTGGAATGGGCTGGAGTCTCTTGCTAACGTGCCATATTTTCTAGGTCAGAGGAAGTGATCAGAGCTGTTGACCACTGCTGTAGGCAGTTGTATTAGCAGGTCCAGATGAGAACTAGCATTGAAACGCTCTCCTGAAGTTGTGCCTATAGTGTGAGTGTATGGTCAGAACAGATTCAGTGCCTTCAGAAAGTATTCACATCCCTTCACTTTTTCCACATTAATTTTGAAAGACTATCTCATCTCTGTATCCCACACAAACAATTATCTGTAAGGTCCCTCAGTCGAGCAGTGAATTTCAAACACATATTCAACCACAAAGACCAGGGAGGTTTTCCAATGCCCAACAAAGAAGGGCACCTATTGGAAAAAAAAAAAAAAATTACACTGGATATCCCTTTGAGCATGGTGAAGTTATTAATTACACTTTGGATGGTGTATCAACAGACCCAGTCACTACAAAGGCACAGGCATCCTTCCTAACTCAGTTGCAGGAGAGGAAGGAAACCACTCAGGGATTTCACGATGAGGTCAAAGGTGACATTAAAACAGTTAAGAGTTTAATGGCTGTGATAGGAGAAAACTGAGGATGGATCAACAACATTGTAGTTACTCCACAATACTAACCTAACAGACAGAGAGAAAATAAGGAATCCTGTACAGAATAAAAAATATTCCAAAACATGCATCCTGTTTGCAACAAGGCACAAAAGTAATACTGCAATAAATGTGGTAAAGCAATTCACTTTTTGCCCTGAATACAAAGTGTTATGTTTGGGGCAAATCTAATACAACACATTACTGAGTACCACTCTCCATACTTTCAAGCATAGGGGTGGTTGCATCAAGTTATAATTGTGGAGGACTGGGGAAATTTTCAGGATAAAAATAAACGGAATGGAGCTAAGCACAGGCAAATTCCTAGAGAAAAACCTGGTTCAGTCTGCTTTCCACCAGACACTGGGAGATGAATTCACCTTTCAGCAGGACAATAACCTAAAACACACGGCCAAATCTACACTGGAGTTGCTTACCAAGAAGACAGTGAATGTTCCTGAGTGGCCGAGTTACAGTTTACTTAAATGTATTTAAAAATCTATGGCAAGACCTGAAAATGGTTGTCTAGCAATGATCAACAATCAATTTGAGAGAGCTTTAAGAATTTTGAAAAGAATAAATGGGCAAATGTTGGTGCTTCTACAAAGTATTGACTTACGTAAATGTAAATACTCATGTAGTGGTGGAGTGGTGATGAGAATGAAAGTTTACAGTGGGAGCGTCAACACACACATACATACGCTCTCACGCCAACAAAATACAATTACTCAAGTTTGCATATAAGCCATACCCAACACACAAACACAGCTCAACATGTATTAGTCACATAGGGATTGGTGTGTGGTTATAACAATTAGACCCAGCACAATTGCTTGGTGTAAAGTTGGCTAAAATAATTCCAATGAATGATGGCATGTTTATTGAATTGACTAGTGATGCAAATTAGATTAATAGGTCACAATACTAATATTCAGGAAACTAGTTCCAGTTCAGTTTCTGATTAGTTTAAACTGAATATAGCCCGTTCTTAAGATCAGACAACTAGCATCTGCTAAATTAGCATATGCTACAACAATCAATTGGAGATGAGAAAGATGTGGCCCTTTGGCTTTAAAATGACGTTTTACTTCACAAAATGTAGTTTTACTTACAACTTTCCATCCAGCTTCAGCAGAAAGCCCTGCTTATCATACACTATAAAGAAAGAAAGAGACAGAAAATGGGTAAGAAAACTGAAATTAACAAACAGGATTCAAAACGGCTTGTGAACCAAGACAGAGTGATCATCCATCCTCATCTTGAACATAGTCAACTATTGGCGTCGTAGCCATAGTCGTACATCTCTCGCCAAGTAAACAGCCTGTGGACTTTCATAAAGAAAAGAAACCAAAGTAAAACACTCTGTTGAAAGCATTAGGGTTAGAGAGATTTTTGCGGCCGGTCAAACAAGCGGGGGTTAGGGAAAGCCAGCCAAAAACATTCCGCCGAGATTCAAGTCCAAATGATAAGTTAAAAACAGCAGTTATGATTCACCTATGGAGGAGGACCGTACGGGGTCGGTCCATAGGTGCCGTTTCAAGCGTCATCGGCGTTTAGGCTTTTTTAGTAGCGAAGGGGAAAGAAGCACAAGCCAAATTTGTCTTCAAAAAGATCTACCTGCTTTTTCTGCTCGGACAAGAGAAAACAGTTAACAGCTTAGTAATAGTGTCCTTCAACACGGAAATCAATTCCGAAAGACAGTTATTTGAATTCCACTTCAGTCCGTTTGTGTACACATGTATCCATCACTGTGACCTGGACGAGACTCGGCTTGACGCCAATACACTACGAGGCATGCTGACTTAGTTCATATATCATTCTGTCAAACCGTTAGGTCAACAGAATGCCCCAGGTCTCTGGAACCTACTGCTACTGAAGTATTTACACTTCGCCATTTATCTGTGAATCACAGTGAAGACGTGTTACTAGCGAATCTCTACTAGCTACTACAGCTTGAAACTATCCAGATCTTTACCATTACTCACAACTGAACAGCATCTTCTGACGAAGCCAGTAAATACTGTTTATCTGTGATTGAATAAACATGAAAAGGACAGCAATTACATAAATGACCCCTTATCAAGATAATACAATAAGCAATTGGGGAGAAAGGGTGAAAGTGGAAGCAGTTCTCAGCACTCCTGAGGTTGCACTACGTCTTCAGAGGGATGCTAGATGAGAGAAGTAGAAGAGGAGGAGAGCGGGGCCTTGAAAGATGAGCCATGGGTTTTAATGCAGCAGCTATGAGAGTGTGTGTGTATGGTGTGGATATTAGGTGTGTGGTAGGAAGCCAGAGCTGAGCAGAGGAAGCAGCAGGACCCTGCCTGTATTATAAACCTTGGCCACTGAAACCACCTAGAACCAGACACCCTCCAGACTCTGTGTCGCTGCCTAACCTTTAACTTTATGCCCCTTTTAAAAAGGCTGATACAGAGCTGCTTTTCTATGCTCAACAACAGAGGGAGCTGTTGCATCATTCAATAGAGTGACATGGATGATTCAACTGTGCTTTATTTGCTCCGTCCACATTCGGTTTGGGATATGTGGTCGAAGTCAATAGGAGTTTACGTGCAGCTCACAGTCGTGATCTCTCCGGATCAGGCCAACTGAAACTCCCCCACGGACACCAGTGCCATCCAATGTCTGGGACTGGGGTGTGTGTGGTGGTTGACTTGGTTCAAAAGGTTGAAGAAAAACAGAGCCACATTTGCCTGTCACACTCATTTCTCTCTAGCCATGCCAATGGGACACCTTTTAAAAAAACAGTTTGTGAGTTTGTCCAGTAGCCCTTTCCAGGGAAAGGGAGCCAAGCATGGGACCTTCGTAAAATCAGTAGTCAGCGACACAGCCTTGCAGGGAGTCTGGCCAGGCACCATGTTGGGAGACAACACAGTTCAATAACAATGAACAGCAACTCCCACCCTGTAGTACTAGCTATCTGTCAAAGATCCGATTTACTGATACAGTTTCATCATAAATTACACCTTGAGCCTTTGAAGACATTATAACTTCTAATTGGGACGACGTCGACTGCAGAGAAGCTCTCTCTGCAAGAAACAAAATAGCGTACGATTATCTTTGTGAGAAGCGTGAACTTCTTAGAGATGAGGAACCCCCCCAACATGGCCGCTGAGGTGTGATGTGTTCCAGGAGGCACTTGGAGCTGTATTATTAAAGAGGGGTGGAGAGGGAGGGGGAAAGGTTTGTACCTGAGCCTACTATTCGTCCCACGGTGAGAGCAACGTCCGCTTCCAACTCTGAAACACAAAAAGGGTCAGTTAGGCCCGGTCCGGTGGGGGTAACCACGGCAACCGGTGTCCGCAGCCCGATAGGCTTAGCAAGGGCATGTGCACAAGACACAAACTTCTAATACCACAGAGGCCAAGGAGGAAGAGAGGTTAGTGACGTTAGTACCCCAAGGTCCAATTAAAAACCAAGAGTCTGGATCCCCCAAATCAAGATGCCTTCCCATTGTGCTGGTAATCATCTATGAAATGCACATTTCCGATTATTATTGTGTTTGTTGTTGTAGTTTCTGAAAGGTACCAGCAAAGACCACAGTACATGAGTGGATGAGTACATTCTGGTCAGAAAACAAGAGGAGAGGATCAAATGCAAGGCTTTTGTTGTAGTGTTAGTGGAGAGTTGTTGTTATTCCAAAGTGAGCCCCTAAGCAGCCCGGTTTCACCACTTTCCCACCATCACTCAATATAAAGGGGGCTAGCGCCTCGGCACCTCAGTCTACCTGTGGTGCTTTGACCTTTAGTCGGGACTATGAGAGTGGACTCCGAATCAATCTCTGCAAACAGAAGGGGTTAGAGAGGACATCAGATGAGACAGAATGGCCGCTCAGCAACTGAGACCGAGAGGGCTGGACAGGAAAAGGAAGAGCAGACAAGGACAAACAAGCACAAACAGACAGTCAGATAGAAAACAAATGAACAGAGACGCACCTTATTGATCATATTGTTTCTTTGCCCAACAAAATATTTTCAAGACAGAGGCAGCTACATCTACAATCTATTAGACTTTTAGGCTGGTAGAACTGGCCCATTACAGAGGGCTTTTAAATGCAACTGTTGCCCATCAGGCGGGTAAAACCATTTTTATGGCTTTAAGGCACTGCGGACCCACCCTGACCTGTGAATCCCCCTGCCCCGTTTACGAATGTTGTTTGTTATCTTTATCAGTTGGCAACAGGTCCACATTTCCTTTCCACTTCCCCTTACATATTTGTCTTCTTCATTTGTATTTCAAAGAGATAAAAACTGAACTCTTGCATAACGAGGCTCAGGTTCAAACAGAACCATTCCAGGTATTCAAAAAGCAACAAAATGTTCCTCTATCAAAATAAGCAGAGGACAGCTGTCGTGTTCTTTTGTCTAACTGCTGATGATTAAGCACAACCAACAGGCCTCTGCTGAACAATGAGAAAGGAGACCCACTGCTGTCTGTATGAACATGAAAGCAGAGCAGGGGGCACGGGATTCTAGGCCGGCAAACACTGGGTTGTTTGTTGAGACTGCACTAAAACTGCCATATACTGGCATTTTAACCACACTTAAAACTATCCCTCAAATGGTGCAACAAGTCGGTGTTAACACATTAAATACCCAATTAGGAAGTTATCTAATTGTAACCGTATAGGAAGAGTGAGGCGTCAACAATCTCAACACCAATCTCAACGTCAACAGTGACGAGGCGACTCCGGGATGCTGCCTTCTAGGCAGAGTTGCATTCAAAAGCCATTCTCAGACTGGCCAATAAAAAGAAAAGATTAAAGATGGGCAGTCTGAGATATGGCTTTTTCTTTGCAACTCTGCCTAGAAGATCAGCATCCCAGAGTCGCCTCTTCACGGTTGACATTGAGACTGGTGTTTTGCGGGTACTATTTAATGAAGCTGCCAGTTGAGGACCTGTGAAGCGTCTGTTTCTCATACTAGACACTGTAATGTATTTGTCCTCCTGCTCAGTTGTGCACCGGGGCCGCCCACTCCTCTTTCTATTCTGGTTAGAGCCTATTTGCGCTGTTCTGTGAAGGGAGTAGTACACAGCGTTGTACGAGATCTTCAGTTTCTTGGCAATTTCTCGCATGGAATAGCCTTCATTTCTCAGAACAAGAATAGACTGACGAGTTTCAGAAGAGTTCTTTGTTTCTGGCCATTTTGAGCCTGTAATTGAACCCACAATTGCTGATGCTCCAGATACTCAACTAGTCTCAAGAAGGCCAATTTTATTGCTTCTTTAAAATCAGCACAACCGTTTTCAGCTGTGCTAACATAATTGCAAAAGGGTTTTCTAATGATCAATTAGCCTTTTAAAATGATAAACTTGGAATAGCAAACACAACGTGCCATTGGAACACAGGACTGATGGTTGCTGATAATGGGTCTCTGTACACCTATGTAGATATTCCATTAAAAATCAGCCGTTTCCAGCTACAATAGCCATTTACAACATTAACAATGTCTACACTGTATTTCTGATCAATTTTATGTTCTTTTAATGGACAAAAAAATTGCTTTTCTTTTGAAAACAAGGACATTTCTAAGTGACCCCAAACTTTTGAACGGTAGTGTAAGTCAAAACTGTAACTAGGCCACTCAGGAACATTTGATGTTCCTGAGTGGAACAACTTCAATGTACAGTACCTGTCAAAAGTTTGGACACACCTACTCATTCAAGGCTTTTTCTTTATTTTTACTCATTTCTACATTGTAGAATAATAGTGAAGACATCAAAACTATGAAATAACACATATGGAATCATGTAAACAAAAAAAAAAGCGTTAAACAATTCAAAATATATTTGAGATTTTCGATTCTTCAAAGTAGCCACCCTTTGCCTTGATGACAGCTTTGCACACTCTGAAAAGGTCCTGCTGAAAGGTGAATTTGTCAACAACAACAAAATCTTAATTTTAGTTATTTAGCAGACTCACTTATACAGAACGACTTACAGAAGTGAGTGCATATGTTTTAAATTCTTTTTTTGTACTGGTCCACCGTGGGAATCGAACAACCCTGGCATTGCATGCGCCATGCTCTACGAACTGAGCCACACAGGACCAGTGTCTTTTGGAAAGCAGACAACCAAGTTCTCGGATTTTGCCTGTGCTTCGCTCTATTCCGTTTCTTTGTATCCTAAAAAACTCCCTAGTCCTTGCCAATGACAAGCATACCCATAACATGATGCAACCACCACCATGCTTGAAAATATGAAAAATGCTACTCAGTGATTTGATGTGTTGGATTTGCCCCAAACCTAACACTTTGTATTCAGGACTAAGTTAATTTCTATGGCACTTTAGTGCCTTATTGTAAACAGGATGCATGTTTTGGAATATTTGTATTCTGTACAGACTTCCTTATTTTCACTCTGTCATTTTGGTTAGTTGATCCATCCTCAATTTTCTCCTATCACAGCCATTAAACTCTGTAACTGTTTTAAAGTCACCATTGGCCTCATCGTGAAATCCCGGAGCGGTTTCCTTCCTCTCAGGCAACTGTTTTTCGGTTTTCAAATCAATTTAATTGGCTATTTTGGTTTATGGCCTTGGTGACCTAGCATATGGCCTTGGTGCCCTGGCAGATTGGGCAACTCTTGAAGGCCAAATGGCTTTGCCCCTAAAATCACAAAGTTCCAGGCCTGCCCACCACCTAAACCCCTTATTTTACATAGTGTATAATTTATTCATTCTGAACACATTTCTGTTTGTTGGCAATGACAATTCTTGCAACAACAAAAAAATCTCAATACTTGTATGTTCGCTAGCTGGACAGGCAAACGCTGCAGAGTACTAAACTGTAAACCAAACAAAACTTGTGTACTATCCATGGTACTCTCTGCTGATCATGTCTGCCAATCACATTATTCGTATCTAAGGTAGTAGACAGCTGGTGATTACAGCTAGAGAGAGATCTCCGTCCGACAAACCGCTACCAGGTAGTCTTTTTTTCAAATTTGTAGTCTAACTATTTAGTTACAGAAACGTGATACCATCAATGCAAGCTGTAAAATGACTACCAACTTAGAACACAAGAACCTTAGTAATGTAGCTAGCTAGCTAATTATAACAAGTAGATCTGTTGCAAGCTAGCAGGAGAAGATGGCTTTATCACTATCGAGCATGTCATTCCGGGACAAGGAGCGTTTTAGCTATCAGTTTATTCCAAGTAATAATTTAAGACTACAAAAATCTATAGGACAAGTACTCTAAATCTAATACTGTCAAGGCAGGACCCACTAATTTCATTCATACTGACAAATAAGAAATGCTACATTATCCCTGTCAACAGTTGGAATAGCATTATTGCATAGCACCCTGCCTCAGACTGTCAGGATGTTCATTTTCTAGCTCACAAACTATACTGAACAAAAATATAAAACGCAACATGCAACAATTTCAAAGGTTTTACTGCGTTACAGTTCATATAAAGAAATAAGTCAACTTAAATAAATTAATTAGGCTCTAATCTATGGATTTCACATGACTGGGCAGGGGTGCAGCCATGAGTGGGCCTTGGAGGGCATTGGCCCACCCACTAGGGAGCCAGGCCCAGACAATCAGAATGAGTTTTACCCCACAAAAGGGCGTTATTAAGGACAGAAATACTCCTCAGCACCTGCCCTCAGACGAGCCGGATGTGGAGATCCTGGGCTGGCGTGGCTACACGTGGTCTGCGGTTGTGAGGCCGATTGGACGTACTGCCAAATTCTCTAAAACGACGTTGGAGGCGGCTTATGGTAGAGAAATTAACATTCAAATATCTGACAACCGCTCTGGTGGACATTCCTGCAGTCAGCATGCCAATTGCACGCTCCCTCAAAACTTGAGACATCTGTGGCTTGTGTTGTGTGACAAAACTGCACATTTTAGAGATGCCTTTTATCGTCCCCAGCACAAGGTGCACCTGTGTAATGATCACACTGTTTAATCAGCTTCTTGATATGCCACACCTGTCAGGTGGATAGATTATCTTGGCAAAGGATAAATGCTCACTAACATGGATGTAAACAAATTTGTGCACTACATTTGAGAGAAATAAGCTTTTTGTGCATATGGAACATTTCTGGGATTTTTTTTTTTTTTTTCAGCTCATGAAACCAACCCTTTACATGTTCCGTTTATGTTTTTGTTCAGTATGCATTCCTTTGCTGTGATTATTTATTTTATTCATTCTTGTCTTTCACTTTTGTCTCACAACCTATTTAGCGCTCCTGTGTCCTGCTCCCAAAGATCAACCAAGTGCTAT